TATATATATACGTAGAATTTGTATTTTGGCGATAGCATTACAAAATTGAAACAATAATAGAATTTGGCAATGGTAATGCCAATGATTTTGAAATTAACTGTTGTACTTAATCGGAGACAACGTAACAATAAGTGGCGTTGTATGGCACCGCTAATCTATTATTACTATTCGATTACATTTCACGATTTACTGCTGTTACTTTATGAATAATTTAGATAATAAATTGATTACGAAATTTTACCGGTTGCTGTACAAACATCATTCTCAAATACAGGTCATCGACGATTGCGCAGCGTGTTTGGGGTTAATTGATGCTAAATTGACTTTCGCCTGTGCAGACAAAACATCCATGACGAACATGTTGATCCAATGTATTTCTATGCTATACGCTTTGGTCAATATTTCAATTGTGAAGGCATAAACCACTCAAGAATTATTTGCAGAAGTGTATTTTCCGATAACTGAAACCATATTGGTCTGTTTAGACTCGTTTTTAGGTCCCGCTCAAACATGCCTCGCCTAGAAACAAGTTAACAGACCTAATCTTGGGTTAAATGTCCAAGCGGTCCAAGGACTTAAAAAGGTAATAAATCAAAAAAACGCTAGTCGCTGTAGCCAACCTTAATGGATCTACAAGCGATAGATAACTTCATCTAAAAAAAACCTTTAATATCAACATATAAAATTTTGGGATCATCAGAAATGGTACGTTGTAAAATTTTGATACATTTTAAGGGTGGACGACTTTGCATAATCCCACCTGAGTATTCCAAAAACAAAACTCTTGTCTGGAAATTTTGCTTTAATGTGTCTTTTTTCTGGTACCAAGAACAGCGACTAATTGCGAACCCGATTAGCAGGCCGCCTGCTAATGAGTTCGAACATATTTAGCATTCGCTCTAAATTCAGGCATCAAAGCTGTGTCAAGCTTTACCCTGGTGCAAATGTTTTACGCGATCGTTATTATTACTTACTCTAGTTGGGTCATCAGAGCTTGCCGCCACAGATTAAATTAGTGAGCGATCCAAATGCACTGCTCATTTAATGCCCTATAAACAAAATGTACGGTTTACTATTTAAGTTTCGCCTGTCAGCAGAATTTACTGTTTTACGATATGGCTATTAATACAAAAAAGCACCTAAAAAGAAACCACATTCCAATAGCCGTTAGTGTAACTAAAACTAAATATACCTTCGTTACTATAACGTGCATTATGAGGTTTCTGATATTGGGCTTAATACTTCACTAATATAAACAGGTCATGAAGAACAGGTCCCCAGTGGCTAAATAATATTCTTGAATCCCGAATGAATTTTAGGACGCGGGTACCATGTTAAAGGCATTCAAAGCCAACAACCTACTTTAATGTTTTTGCGCACGACACCAGTTTCGTATGTAATAGCACTGTCAAATCGTTTAGCTGCACATCAGTTGTCATATCTTCTCCGACAAGCAATTTACCACCTTCCATAGGAAATGCTGGAGCAATTCCATCGTAGCTTTTAGTAAAATAATAATTCTTTGCGTTTGGGAAAAATAATACCGACAATAGCGATAAACTGCAGCACCCACAGCTATATTAACAAAAACAAAATAATTATGGAGAAATCTTGAACACAGGAAAGTGTTTATGAATCGAGAGGAAGGTTACATTTTTTAATTACACGGCTTTGCAGAAAGGAAGCACTAGCCAGCACGAAACATCGCCATTTATGCTTAAGAGGTCTACAAAATAGTAATACGTCAAATCGCAACCGGAGGAATCGCGTATAAATTAAACAAAGATGGCAGGTTTTACTTCGTGAAAGAAAGAAATTTTTAAAAAATATCGTGAGATGGTAAAATATTATATTCTACTAAGCTATTGTAAAAGGAAGCATGCATTGAAAGGAGTTGTATATTAGGAATCATATTCATCTACAAAAAACTCAAGGATGTCACAATGACAACTGCATGTGAACTAGCGAATTCCTGCAATGACAAAAAGAGAAGTTGGAAAATCAGAATAAAATGCCTTTTCAATGTGGTAAGCAGATGCCGGAGTTGAAATCTGTAGTACGGGTGATTCGCATGTAATTAGTAGTTATAATTTTTATATCTCAGTGAATGCGACAGACTGATAAACGTAAACGTCCATTTTAAATGGAATAGGGAAAATAAATAAAGGAATGTGTAAATATGAGCGGCCGCTACCGTTGATCACATAGATTGGAACCTATCAATTGGGTTTAAATGTAAGTTCTCGTATTCTTTAATATAGTCATAGTGAACATGTACATATATACGACATGACGATCTTACAATTAATTTATTCGTCTGCTATCAGCGAATCACCGAATGTTGCGTTGAATGTAAAAAGTATAGCGCTTGGATTATTACAGTAAAAATATGAATATATTTGAACGGTAGTTTTGATGCATACACATAGAGTTTGAAGGTCAATCCATTCTTCATCCTTGTTGCGAAAAGATATGGCATGACTCTGAATTTCGCTCGTTTTGTCGAAATATCTTTTTCTATAAAGCGATATGTATCCGGAACCCCTCCTCTAAAACTTTTAAATTGACTTATTATGACATCTTAAAAAATATAAGCAAGAAAGCATCACATTGTATTCATTTTGAGCAGTTAGTTACGTACCTAATATACATATGAATTGTACAGCAAAAATGTAAAATTATTTTGAATTCTAAATTGATTTTGCTGTTCATATACTTTTACTCCAGATTAAAAATTTAGCGATTACATTTGATTCTATTTCTTTGTGAAGACTTTAATAGCCGGAACAGCGATCAGTACCACCTTGTTAGTAGTGAGTTTGTAAGTGATATAAGGATTAGCAAAAAATAAGTTATAACTTTCAACGCATGTTAATATTAGTCAAAATATTTTTAGGAAACGAAAGAACAAAGACAAAATCTCAGCAAATTATATGCAAAAAGACAGAAAGTAGCATCTAACAAACATCGCAATTCTTTTGACGGTGCTTGAGAGACAAAATTTATGGATACAGGCACAACTTAGAGGCTATAGGAGTAGCGAAATAAGTGTTGACTAGAAACGACAGATAACTACGATGATGATGGTAGTAATGAAACGTCGCAATTTCATCAGCCGCACAATAATATGCTTTAACATTACATATATATACAGAAATCCGCTATGATGTAATCGTAAAACATAGCAGTGTTATAAGCAAATCGAGAGATGAAAGAGATGAATGGATGAATGTACTACTATAATGAAACAAATTATAACGTAACGAAAATATGCTTAAAGATTTAAAGAAAAAGACAGTGAATTAGAAAGAAAATTGGACTAGAGATCCTTTTAATGACATTTTCACATACCATAAGAAATCAAAGACGAAGAAAAATAGCAACAAAAACAACAACTAACAAAGTACTATACGACCTAATAGTTTTTGTCACAATGGAAGTATCTAACGTATTTATATGAACAGTGTATCATCAGTGCGACTGTGTGAAAGAAACATTTTTTTTTTATTATTTGATTTGACTAAGTAGGCCAATTCTAAATAAATAGATAAGTAGCTAAATTTAGCTTATGACAAACAGCAATCTATGAACGTATCCCTTCTGACGCTTTTTCACCCCAAGGAAAAAGGACAGATGTCTGGCACGGACTGGGTAAAATGCACTTGTTGCTTATTAACTCGACTCAACAGAACCATGACTGGTCAATAGGACAGTGTAATAATAACATTGTAATCTATTGTCAGAAATAATCCGGAGTAATCAATGTAAACAGAAATTCCTTGAAAAATAGACACGAACGTAACAATTTCAGGTTAACAATTCATTTAGTACATTACTTCACATGATTACGTTCGTTGAACACTATCTGAGATAATTAGTCATCTGTACAACTCGAGCTATAAATAACAAATTTTCATTATTATATATATATATATATATATATATATTATTCAATGATAAACAACTGCTCTTTATTCAAGGGGAAGCGTAGGTTAACTCTGTCAAATTACTTTGGTCACGACCAGTTTCTAGTTCTTTTACTCCCAACTACGCATTTCTTCGATCCTGGATAGAGATTTTCCCCACTTTGTGTCGGTGCCTGGTACAAAGACATCCGTTGCCTTCAGATTTTACGAGAGCATAGTGCTCTTCGAACGTTAAAACACCGAAGGCGATTTTTTGTTCAAATATTCCTTGGCATGTATGAAGCGTATTGTAGATAAATATGCGAAAAAAAAATTTCAAAATAGGAATAAATAAACTTTCAGTCACTTATCGAAAATAACGACCATTCACTAACGCGCATTTATTCCGATATAAAATATGATGCTTAGTGCTTATTGGTATTCCTTATACATATAATCTTTGTCACCTTTACCTTTCTGCGTGTGTGAAGAAGCGTGTATATATATATGTTTTTTGATGTTCCGAACATTTGGTACCTGCACAAGGTTTGCCATCAAGAAATGCTTAAAAGCATCGTTTCAAAACTCGACCTATAGTAGCAAATATTTATGCTTTTTAAGTTCATAACCGGGGCATTCTGCTTGCGGTGTCACTGTAATTACGAATTCGCCCTTACTTGTCAATCACGAACAGTCAGTATCTCAATACTACCCAGAAAAGCTAGTCCAAGTGGGTATCTCGACAATTCTGTGTCATAGGTATAGACTCGTAAAATAATGCCTCCTCCTTCACCCAGACTCGCATAAACAAAGAGGAGCTCTATCTATACCAGATTATCTTCTACTCCTTTTGAGGCAGTTACTGTCCTGAAGCGTTGATCAGCTGTAATCAAAAGCGAAGGCGGTGTCTTTTGTTTACCGCCAGATTACACCACATTACTGCGCAGTCGCTTAAGGTTGTCCTTTTTTCGTCTTGCCTTGCTTTATTATTGTCAACCATTCTCTTTTCAGCTTAAGGATTCTTTTCTTTTCACTTTTTCTCAGTTAATGATTGAAGCCTTCCTGCCATCAAGTAACGATCGATGAAGTTTGTCCACATCCTTGCGAAGGAGATCTTTCCGCAGAACACCGTTGGTATCAAACCACGAAGAGATTGACTTCTCAAGCTGGGCATAACTCGTCGACTTTTGCCCTTCTACATGCATCGTCATTTCGAGTCTGTACATGTCATCGAACCGATCCAACGTCGAACGGACAGTGAATACCTTCGCTGCTTCAAGGCCAACCTCGTCCTTTACCAAAATCCAGACCCGTCGTTGCAACGTACGCAGAAGAAAATTAGCATAACGAGAAAAAATGCAAACAGACATCGTTAAGGAGAGTTTCTGAATTATTTTTAACATGCGAATTACATACTTGTCTATGAACCCTGCGAGGTCACAGATCTGTAAGTTGACGAAGATACAATATATACACAGAGCACCAATGTTATAATGCCTCTGACAATATGTTCTGTGTTTTTGGCCAACTCGGATCTAATAATATATGTACGACGAATACACGATTTTTTTCGTTTTTAAAAAAGTTCATATACGCAAGGATTCACTTTGTAGATCAACCATGGCGAAGCTAGTGATACACGCCGAACATTTAACTATTTGAATTTTTCAATTTTTTCTGAAATTTGACCAAAATAAATTAATAGTTGTACTAATATTTATCCTTCTTTATCAACGTATTCTGCATCATATATGAGTCGTTGTGCAAAATCCAAAAAACCTACATATATAATAATTTCTGTTAGGATATGAATACTCAACAAAAAGCGAATTGTTTTTTTGAAATCACCATGAACTTTGGACTATTCACGAGATCTAAGAAATCAAAGTAATAAGACCAGCTCTGCCTCTAATGACCTAATCATCAAGAGGTAGCCACCAATGCATTTTCTTACGATTCGTGAAATTTAAGAGTTCCTGAAATAACTAAAACGTAGTAGTTTAATACTCTACTATCGTACGCAGTCTTTTGTAAATCTTGCACACGAACAAACTAAGGCTTTGGGGATTGAAACAGGCTTCCGCAAGGCTCGGATCTGCCACTTAAATCTTTACTTACCTTCCTTTTGGCGACAACAAAGATGCCCTTTTCATAGTAATTCGTATATAGGGTTAGAATACCCATTAATGCGAAATAAGATAGGACGCAGGCAACCAGGACAGGCCGGGATTCTGGAAATGGATGCCACCAATCCCATAACAAGGCCCATCCCGCAGCTGCCACCGCTAAGACGGAGATCGCTAACCGACCGTCAGGTAGCGAGTGGTCTTCCTCCATACGATAGTCATGGGTGACTATGCACCGCACTTCGTCATCAAGCGCGTTTCGCACAGCTGCACCATCCCATTTATCAACTGGATCAATGAATTGAAACAACACAATATAGTTAGTCTATTTTATTGACGCGTATGCATTAACTCTATGTGTTTATTACATTTCGGTTCATCGATATCCGGATAGATGTTGCGTAGCTATACTACTGGAAAGCTTTGCTCAAGTGATCACGAAATGGCAAGAAACGGAGATTTATAAATCTCCGTTTCTTGCCATTTCGTGTCAGTACAAATGTCAGTACAAGTCGCATTGACTTATCATACGGCAATAAAGCAAATTATATTTTGCCTATTATCTAAACCTAATATTTGTTTTGGTTACCCCACTGCGGTCTCATTTTCTGTCTATTTTACATACAATATAAAGAAAAATAAAAAATGACAAAGCATAAAAACTTTTTTTCGTTGTCTGCCAGATACAACATGTTATGTCATTCTATTCATAAATTTCTACAGCACATAGTATCAACGTAAATATTGTGACTGCCATGATCCATGAAAAATTAAACATATGGCATGAAATCGTTCCTTTGCCTCCAGTGCAAGAGACGTTAAATATACCTATACGTTTTACGTGGCTAGCAATCAGGACTGTCTCTGATTTTACTATAAAGTTAAGCACGATGGTTGATGAGACAGCAAAAATTATAGCTTAAATCATTTAACAGGTCCATTGAATACAATCGCATGAGAACGCATTTTATATACGCCAATCCGGCAAACCTTTTTGCCCCTCTCCTCCTCTCGCTGCCGCACTGTCGATTGACTGGAGTGAACTGCTATCGCTGCTGCGATACCTTCAGCGACTGAATCGATCAAAGTTTTGTTATCACTGACCAAAGCTAGTTCTGAACTTATCGGAATTATTACATACCCTTAACTTCCTGCTGCACATCTTCTGTCTGTTGGCACATTTTTCCGGACGAAAATAAAAACACCACTTCAGATGAACGAACAACAATCGCTGCAAATTCGAACGGCTACAACTACTTCAATTATCGGGCAGCCGACTAACACTACTGTGACGTGTCAGACACAGACAACTCCGCGCTATATTGTCGCTTTGGTTGCGGCAACAGTAGAGACTTCTTCAACTAGTGAATGAATGAATGAATGAATGAATTGTTGCTTACAACCGCTTCGGTTGGGGCGCTTTAATGTTGGGAAAGGGGAGAGAAAGCATACTTCACCGAATCATAACACAAGCCATTAGCTACGTATGCTGTTGCCCATTGATCTTTGCCACTGATACTATCGGTCTTACGAGAGTTACGGAAAGGTTATTTCTGACTGCGCTCTTATTTGACGTCCCAGCCGTCTTCATTGCATCCTCATGTTTTGATATGATTTTTCCTGTTTCCTTCACATTATGATACAATGAATACCTCAAGATGCACATTACGTAGAGATAATCAGAATGTATGGCATTTGTACTGCTGCTTGTAAGCTCTTACGCTACATACTTATTCACCCCGGGCGTTCTCCATCGAGACCTACGTGCTCACCTTATCTATAACGGTGTTCTCCTCTCAGAGAGCTGTCCTATATTTTTCGAGTGCAATGTACATATATATGTTTGCTTCATTTGGTCAGATAGCGGTTTTAACAGTTCATAATTGAATCTATGCAGAAACTGTGTTTTTTGCTATTTTAATTGTGTGAGCAGGTTTTTAGATTTATCTCCTCAGTAGATCAAAGATTTCCCAGCACCAGGTCTAACGGGGATGAATCTTACTGGACTTAATTGAGTTTCTTTAACAGCCCCACCAAACGGCTTGGTACTTATATATCAATGTTGATAATGATAATTTGCGCGGGGGCAGTCGCATAGCCGTTTCACGTTAGTTTCACGAAGACTAGGTAGAAACAGATAAAGTGAAATATACGAAAGTAAACATTTACAGACGCCTCCATTGAGCTAGTGAAAAATGGAAACACTGTCAATTAATTTGGCAGGAAATAGAAGGCTTAGAAAAAAGAGAAGATAGTAATGAATTAAGTAACAACAAAATTGCAACAAAACCTAATTTTGTTTGAAACATACAATTCAGTCGTCACATAGAGCATCGGTAACGCTGGACCTTATGCATATATTTCTGTGCATTCAAAATTGTCAATAATCCGAAAAAGTCCTGCTTAATAAATATAATCGCCACTAGTATCAATGACCTAAATGTCGATCAAATATCAATAAAATCAAATTTAAAAAAATAATTAATATTGCTTTGTGGTTGAGTTCTATAAAGTAGCGTTAGAGATTTGAAACTATCTAGACATTTTACAAATTTGGCCGTTATATTTAAACATGACAGTGGTGTTTGCGGTAGCAATGCGTCCTTTTCGAATTGTCTTTACTTCATTCGCAACATCCATGTACCAGTGATTTTCGTTAGAACCGGCATGACGTCCCGTAAACACATGCAAAGCCCTGTGGGTGGATAATTGTCTCTGTAATTATTGTTGTAAGGAAATCAGTCATAAGAACACCAATTTAGAATGTTAACTTTACACAAACAACAGGTACATCCTACAATAAAGCTAACGGCTATCATCTCATTTGAACTACTAGGCTACACACTCTTTTATGGAGCTTCTGCAGATACAGAAGATCGGCAGCATGACAAGCTCTGTACCTGTTTGAAAAGCTAACATTGTACATGCATACAGCATGTACTAGATATGCATCTTTTCCATTCATGTTCGCTAGCTCCTGAAATGATTTGTAGCAACAGCGCCAATCAAATTTGAATGAATGTCGAATAGGGTACCACAGCGTCATTTGGTCCTAGGCTATCATAGGGTACCACCACTTAATGCGCGGAACCCACAGACCCACCAGCTAGAAGGCGATATGGCTTGTAACCTGTCGAAATCTCCAAAGATGTACGCTAAGTGATCATTACTGACTATATTCGCGAGTTCGAGAACGATGACATAAAACTCTCCACGAGCAACAAGGCTTATGAGCAATGTTTTAAACAGCTTCGTCTTTGCCATGGCTACAACACGTTCGGGAAAACCATCATGCCAAGTAGCTCTTGGACGCCGGTAACTTGCGGAGAATCGAATTGTGTATCTAGGCAAACAGAAGTTTCACATCTGCAGGGAAACTGGGGAACTGGCGGGGATTATCAGCAATGAAATATCTACCACTTGGTACAATGATAGAAACATAGCAAGCATGAGCTCAAGATGAGCTATATAATCCTTTCCAGTATATACTCTTGCTCTCATATGAAACGGTACACAGACGTCCACACTGACACATGTGAGCTGCATCAGTAGAGCTACTCCCTGCAGGAAGTTTTGTGCTTCATCGGGGTTGAAGTTCAGATCTACGAAGTGCTTTGCACTGAGCGACGTTGGGCCGAAGACGATAGACTATTTTGTACTACCTCTCACTTACGTAATGAGCTGACGAAATAAAAATGAAAAAAGGAAGGTGTTCAAGTCATGGAGCGCAGCACGCCGGCTGGTAAGTTAACGACATGATGCTGCGTTCAGATTGTCAGCTAACGCTGATATCGGCAAACATTTCGTCACGATCACTTCAAATCCTCGTTGACTTTCTTTCTGTATCCCCAAGCCTACTACGCCCAGATCTTCGCAGCCACTGGACATTTACAGAAAGGGATGCGGGCACCAAATGCGGAGTCCGGCTGTACAAAATTTTGTGCAATTTGTCTACACCGATGAGTATAATTGTATAATTGACCAAAATTGTACATATAACTCGATATGTTCATTCTAATCCGATTATTATAGCAGCTGGCAATAGAGAGTCGGTGACGTGTGGTGATGAACTCATGTGAACCAAAAGCAAAAGCGTTCCAAAAGCGATACAAAGGTAAGCATACTGCCTGAGGCAAGAAACAACCCAGCCCGTTTGCCACTATGTGGGTTAATGCGGTCATGGCCACAGCAGCGCGGGCATGAATCGCTTTTGGTAGAGATACGTTGACTTTTAGGGGGACGGTTTGCTGGGTGCCAAGGCGGCCAGTCTCTGTTCGTAATTGATTTCACGATTACATTATAAAGGGCGATGCTATGTTGGCCGCAAGTTTCTAAAAAACGTTCGATCCGTTTTGCGGCATTCACACCTGAGCTTCTCCGGAAGCACACGGTGTCATCGCGCGCCATTGTCACAGTTGAAGGGAATGCACTAGATATGGCCGTTTCATAAGTGATCTCGAACCAACGCAACCAAAGGATGATGTCTTTTATGGACATCATGACACTTTGCAATTGTAGAAGCATTATCATTTTTGTTTTCGTGCCCCTGTCGAGTGCGTCTTGCTCAAAGGATGCTGCTAACATCTCTACGCTCTGTTGGTCAATCGCTAACTTTCCGCTGTTATTTTTAATGGAGTTGTACTGCATATTGATTAATACGATGGCATACATTTTAGTTCAATTGCAACAGAATTAAAGCAGCTAAAAGGACGGACGATACAATGAACACTCGTTCGTCTCTTAAGCCCAATAAGGCTTGTAGCAAACCACACATTTCGATACTGGAAATTTTTATTGGTCTCTAGCTGTTGTGGTTTTCTGCTAGCTACACTGGTGGCCTGCCTTATCACGCGTTTGACAAGTTCGTGGTCGAAGTTGCTTGCCTTGGTACGCAAAACCGCACAGTGCAACCATGTGTTTATAGGAGAGTAATGCGTTCATTAGCATAAAAAGCATTTCCAAATAGACGTGCCTTACGCAAGTTGAATTGAGAAGCGGAAGATTTTTTCACTAGAAGTTGACCGGTAGCTGCATCCTGGTTAAGCTAATGTGGGTAACGAGTAGGAAACGAAGTAATATCACAAATAAGTATTACATTATAAAGAAAAAAGAAAAAGATGGTTGAATTCGTAAGTACGGTGAGGCTGAAAGCTTAATTGTGTAGAAGAAGCACGTTTAAAATGAAGAGCAATGATAGTGCCATATAGGCTCTTTTGTACCGGTCTTATGCGCTGCCTTTTCATGCCGCTAAGCCAAAAACACAAACTGGAAATTAGTAGGTTTTGCCCCATCATATGTATACCATACATAACCTATTCAGCTGTACGGTGTCGAAGGCAATACGAAAATCTGTGTTGAATTGTATTTTCCTAAGTAAGTTCCGCAAGAATTGTAAGTTCTGCGCAACGAGACTGTGTTGTCGTGCGGTGCACGTCAGGTTGGGCATACAACATCTACAGATGAAATTGGTCAATGACAGATTAAGTGTGAGCTGAGGCTTCCTTAAGATTACTAAGGAGAGAACTCAGCCATGAATAAATAGTGCCATTTTTTTTGCCAACAAAGCCATGCATTTGTTGTAAGTCTAGAAGGTGTATTACCGGTTAGTGATGGCATAAGTAAAATTAAATAAAGAGAGCAGATCAACTTTAATTATTTTTATAAGATTGAATCGAATAGAGAAGCCTACAGCCGAAGCGAACTAATAGTATTAAATATTAAAAGTGACGCGAAAGATCTTTTGGGTAGGCCGCCTTACGGAAATAATTGCAGGTTCTAAAGATTAGGCCTGGTTGGGCTAGCAAGTGCAAATGATAGAAAACATTTGAAGGTACACTTTAAGCTAACCGCGGTCAAATATTGTCTAGACAATGTTATTTGCTGGTAATACTACGCTTTTTAAGCTGACCCGCTATGTCGTGACTTAAAATCTTCTTTTTGGTGACATTTTCTAGGTGAATGAAGCCATTGAGAATAATGAGGCTGCTAAGTTCCGCTTTCTAGAGCAAGGGTATGACGAAAACAATAATCTAAGCCCGCTTCTGCTCTTACTAGAAATCAGGGATCAATAATGAATGCTCTGAGTTTTATATCCGAGGCGTAGATCTTTGAAGGCACATTCAAATTGAACCCAAAATCAGTAACCAGAACCACCATCACGCATACCATTAATCTACAATACACGAGTAATATAAGCTCGGCCAATCGCAGCGACCAAGGATCTATGAAGACTTTCTTTCGTTGGAAATGATGCTGGTATGGGTTGTCCTTGAGGAACACATCACGAAGGATAAGCTACGCGAGCTCGACCGTCTAAAGCCTATCTTCAACGCAACCGGAACCTATGAGTTT